ATGATCTTTGACTGGGAAGTAAGAGTTCTTTTATCTCGTCCCAGCGAGGATTACATGTAAAAGTAATAAAAAGGTCAGGACGACCGTAATGTCTAACGTAGGTCATAGCATCTTGTGTTCTTTCGTGCATGTACCTTGGCCCACCAGTAAAAGTTGACGGGAGTATAACCATTTGGCCTAACTGATTAGCTTCTATGTCTCGTCGTCCAATCGCATCTTTTAAATGAATATAACTATCTGCACGCAATTTGGCTTGGTTGTTTTTGATGTAATTTAATCCTTCAGTTTCAATTTTGGCGTATTCATCTACCAAATATTGACTGAAAAGAGAACGATAATTAACTAAATAGTTGTCTTCCCCTTCTCTGACCATTATTCTATATGAGTAAAAACTTGATGCGGAGACAGTTTTTTTAAGCGGTAACTTGGTTTTTGGATCGCGTTGTGGTATATTGATTGCATACCCATCATCCCCCCAACAAAACATTAAAGGATACTGCAGTGCGTCGTATGCTCGATGTATCTCACTGATACGGTGAAGTGAGTTACTTCGATTTTCGAGGATGATGTCTCTTCAATCAAACTGCTGATCTACTAACACTAAAGCAACTTAATTTGCCGTTGGTGCATTATACCTGCCTTTATGTTCTTCTGTTGGTTTTTTATCTGCATGTATTATAACTTTAAATAACTCTGAAGGAGGTATTTTATCGATGGCAAATTGTAATGATCAATTGTAAATTATGCGGTGGCATGCCTAGTAAATCCAATAAGTTTAAAAACTCTGTTGGATAATTTACAACTTCAGTAGCATCGTAAACTGTATCTAGATTTGTATGACACCAAGTTTTCTGGTAACAAATTTTGTATCTTGAGATTCAATTCGTTGACCTCCACATTTTTTGCTACTAAAATTGCTCTTTCTGCCAGCCACTCATGATTTGTGTATTGTCTGTGTACACTGGGACATATCTGGTCAATAAGAGCATCTTGCGAATAAATGATTGTGCAGAAATCGTTCAGTAATTTTATACATCCCGTTTCATCTGTAGTAACTTTCCCATCTCCAATATCTAACAATTGTTTTGAGAATCTTTTGCAAGCAGCTTTTTTTGATTGAATCGAAATCAAAGTATCGAAATCGTTCGCTATCTATCTTTATATATATTTCGACCATGAATTGTTGACAAAGCTTATGCATCGTAAAATAACTTAGTCCTGGTCGTGTCTAATCATCAACCAATATGCATAATAATTTTTTGAACTAACATTCTTATTTGTTTTGGCACCTGTTACGGGATATTTTTGTTTAATATTTATGCAATACCCGTCATTTACTACCAAAAATAAAATTAATAGTTTTTAAATAGTTTTTAATAGTTTTTTAATAATTTTTTAATAGTTTTATTTAATATAATTCATTTTCAATAGCGCAGTTATCGGACCTGGTCAAAAAATATTAAACCGATTTCAACCCTTTAAATTCAAAATTTCGAAAAATCCTTTCTTAGCGCACGTCTACATTATAATAGCTATCTGTATGCCAAATTTCAGCCAGATCCGTCCAATGGTTTGAGCTGTGCGTTGATAGCAGTCAATCAGCTTACTGTTTTATATATACAGAAGATATATAGATTTTGTATTCATAATCATAAATAGTGTATTATTAATAAGTAATTATTATTTTTTGGTATTTTTAAACTTAATTTCTTATTTTTCAATGGAAATTCCAAATATAGTAGGTTGATTTTATTATACACATGTAATTCATACGTAAGTCAATACTTCACTCTTGGAACCCGTAAAGTCGTAACTACTCATAGAATATAGAGTAAAGAAAATCATCAAATTAAGATTATATGGAAAACAATATTGTTAACTTTAAATAATTTCTTATGTATTTTGTATTCATCCTGATACGTACAGAGCAATTTTCTTTTTCTTTTTTTTTTTTTTTTGTGTAACATTTTAGTGATTAACTATCATTATATATAAATACTGTTTAATAGTACACAACATTACTACAATAAACATTAAATACCTAGGTACCTATTGATAATAATGATTATAATTAAGTCTTCATAGATATTATTACAAATATGAAATATTGACTAAAAAATAAAAAAATTTGAAATTATCTTTTATCTTTATCTAGATGAATTTGGACATATTATCTTTCATCTTTATCTAGATATATTTTTCATTTTCTATTCTCAACACTGTATATAATACACAAATTATAGGGAAAAAAGTTCTTTAAATATTTAGATCAAGTTAATTTTAATAAAACATAGTTATGTCTAAAACAGATATTTTAAATAATTAGGGATACTCAGGTACTATATACTTTTAACTAAAAATCGATTGGCTGTTGCATGAGCTCTAATCAGACATTCATGAATTTAAGATTAAATAATATAATTATTAACTTAGTAAATAAATAACTCATTTACCTAACACAAGCTCTATTTAGGGATAGGGGGTGATTAACAAAAGTTCATTGTACAATTATATTATAATGATTTCAATTTGTTTAAATTTAAATAAAGAAAAATTATAATGTCCCAGCAAACTAGAAAGCCCAAATTGTGTGTGTGTGTGTGTTTTTGATTAAATATTTGGTTGATAAGTAGGTGGAGAAAAATCTTTGCTCCTCTAATTAAAATAACTCGCCTTATCACTGCTGCTTACTACACCACATATACCATATTATGGCGTAAGAATACTTTATCAAACAATTTTAAGACTCACACTTCAAACTGTAAATAGAATTATACAGAGTAGAATTCGTTTATATTATACAAACTTTATAATGACACTGGTTATTACTACAAACCGGATTTAATGGTCATAATTTAAAGGTCCTATTAACACTTCTGTACCTTATGTATATATTATAATGGCTATATGAATGTTATGACTGCTATTTTATCTCCAATGACTATTTAATTCACCAAGTTCAGAGTTTATGTTATATGCACGAACGATTTACATGTGGCTAGAACTTTAATTTTCCGATGCATAATATTTCTGTACACGTATGTACAAAAATTGTTTGCATGGCGTTAATAATGGCGTTCAAATAGATCCCTTGAAAAAAAAAAACGAAAATATTATCTTCTAAAATTGGATTAAATAAGTAATACTAATATTATATAATAGTGTCATAACGTAAAATATTTTTATTTCACTTTTTTCTAAATTTAGATCACGATTTAATAGCAAATATAACACAACACATGAACTAGAAATGGCATTCAACACACTATTCGATGCTTTCCATTAGTCTATTTTAAAATTTGTTCCAAAATGCCTATATCGAGCATCGACTTATCCCCCATGATATAATAGTGAATTAAAGGATATCCTTTAACAAAAAAATAAAGCAAATAATTGAATACATATTGAATCTTAATGTTTCCAATTATATCAAATTTTCTTTACTTTAAGCACGGTTTAAATTTATGTCCAAAAAATGTTTTAGCAAATAAAATAATCGTGTAGAATCCTCTCTAACAATAAAACCTAGTGAATTTTGTAAATATCTGTAGAAAAACCGAAATTTTAGTGTCATATGGAATTGTCATATGACGGTGAAGTATCATCGAATAAACAATTAGTTGCAAATATGTTTGCGAATCTATTCACCATGCAAATCAACACCTTGCAAGATTTTCATAGGTTACAAAGTGACTTTGATAATTTTATTGAGTGGTCGTAATCATTATTGACAATTATCATTGAAATAGTAAAACGGAAATTCCTTAGCTTTGCTGGTTTTATTCTCCATATTCAACATCTACCTCATGACTATAACCCTATTACTAACGCACTTAACATTGAAACGCTTGCAAAACGAAGACACTCAAATGAGTTTAAATTCTTAAACAGACTACTACCTGAGAAAATTGATCCACCATTCCTTCTCAATTTAATGAAGTTTAAATTCCCTCAACGTACTTTCCGGTACTCCGTTTCGTATTATATTCTTCCCTATACCTCTAATTATTTAGCTAATGAACTTATTGCATAACTATTATCACTTACCAATGTCGATGCCTCCCAACTTATTTTAGATATCTGATATATATGTTAATCTACTTTTATGATAATCATTATTTTTCCTTTTATTTTTATTTTGTGCACATATTTGAGTATTAGCATCTGTGTAATATTAATACTATTTGTTGTCACTTTAAAACTTTTATCAAAGGACTAAGCCCGTAAAATAAAATAAATAAATAAATAAATATACATACATTGGCAAGTTTTTCAATTTTTTTTTTTTTTTTTTGATTAAAATACGACCATCGGCATTATTACAAGCAATTTTTATCGTTGTTTTGGATGCCGTTAAAAACCGTAGAGTTTCTTTTTTCTACTTTTAACTACTTTCAAATATCTGGCACGTTTTCAATACGTATTGACTCAATATACACAATCCCACGACTCGTACGGAAAACTTAACTTTCTTCCAACCTTACCCCTGTTAATCGTTACACCCACAAAAATATTATATTAAACATATTGCGCTCGTAGAGTTCGAAATAAATATATGTATTATGATAATTACGAGGATACACGTGATACTGCAACATGTGGAATTATATAAAAACGAGATATGAATTTATTTAAACCGGTAGAATATAGTTTCCACCAGAAAAAAAATACACTCAAAAATAACACTCGAACAATATGCGTATAAAATGTCCATTAATTTGTTTACGCATATGAGTATACCCGTTATATTTATACACCCCTACTTGTTCGCCGTATATACCTATATGATATATAAGAGACACATATATACTCCACCCAACACGTGAATAACTTTTTACGCTTCAGCTACGCAAGAATTCTCTAGTCTCCCTTTCCCCATCTATCCTCAAACTCCACCATACCATATAGGTGCAGGTGATGCCATCGCAGTCATATAATTATTATTATTATTGTTTTTATTTTATTTTTTACCTTTCGTTCGTTTGTATTTTTCTTTTCAGGGAAACGCAACCGAATGGTAACTTGTACTTCCCACCTTTCCCCGCGCAATTGTATACGCCAGAAGTGCACGCGGCGACTTACAAATGTGCCCTGGAAAACCCGGTGGGCAGGATCATCTCAAGGGAGTCCAGAATTAAAGCCGGTACTTGGATCTGCGTAAATATTTAATTATTCGTTACACCAATCCCATTATCTTCTCCAACGGTATTAGTTTTTTTTTAAACCTCCTCCTCATTATCAAGGAAAGAGTCATTCCGCCGACCATTATTGTATGATACATATCAGTGATACTCAACCTTTTTACAGTTGCCATTTCCCCGAGAATCAAAATGTTTTCAACGCCCCCCCCCCCCCCCCGTTAAAACAAAAATAAAAATTGTATACTTTAAAAGTGTATAACTGACATATTTTAAAACAATCGTGATGGTCAATGATGATTATACTTGTTATAGGTAGTATCTGTATTTAAATGTCTAAGTTTTAATGCTCATTACCATAATCTACCACTCGAAACTTACGGGCACCCCTACCGTCCAAAATGAATCCATCGTCCACCGAGAGGCGATATTGCACTTGTTTGACATGATGATTATATCATCATTATATATATTATATATATATAATTAAATTAATATATAATATATATTATTATATAATATATAAATATATATATATATATGTATATATATATATTATGACATTATTGACATGATGATTATAGCGTTTTTAATAAGTGTAAAAACACTAAAACCAGTACTATTATATATTAGAAACGTATTTTAATGAAAACGCTTGTGTGAAATTTAAACATGCATTTAATATATACACACGTACTTTGTAAAAATCGAATATTTCAAAACGAATCAAATTGTGTATTATAATAATGTAGTGATGGCTAAATCGTACGAGCTATCCGTCCAAAATGCGTTTGCTCTCCAAGGAAACGTGGCAGCGTTTAAATGCCAATCGCCAGACCTGACCAGTGAACATTTGGAGAAAACTTGGTTCAAAATGGAGGACTCCAGAATGGAAGTCGGTCAAACCACGCCAATACATCCGGGAGGACGTTACGTCATTTCATTGGACGGCACATTGCTCGTTCATGACGTAGTACCCGAGGACACATTCGACAGATATTTTTGTCAAGTGGTCAACAAGTACACGGGTGATCAGTTGGTCAGTCAACCGGCTAAGATACTGATCAAACAACCGTTAGAGGACACGCTGCCGATAATTAAACACCACACGGAAAATATACACGTCAAAGTCAACCAGGCGGTAGATTTGATCTGCTTAGCCGAAGGATTTCCTCCGCCCACCTACAGGTACCTATATATATACGTATTGTGTATAAATCAACTATTATAGTCATAACAATACACGACAATCTCGAACTATACGTATTATTCGATTTATCCCGTTAATCCCGTTTCTCCGAAGGTGGTTCCGGAAAAGTCAAGATAACGTACAGGAAATATCCATGGATTCACTGACTGTGCATCCTTATCAATCGCTGTTGCACATCATCCGAGTGCCGATGAGTGACTCTGTGATTACTTACGAATGCGTGGTTTCTAACAAACTCGGTCAGGATAAACGTCAAATCTCCCTGTCGGCAACCTTGCCGTTTGCTGTTAGTGCGTATCCGTTGAAACAAGTTAGTCGCCAAAATCGCTTAAATAATATAATTCTTGAATATTACTATATTATTTTCTACTCAATTGATTTATTTATTTATTAGCTATATCCCCTAACATTCCTTCCACCTTTTCTAACGCTTCCTCCTTCAACACAATAATACCCTATGTTACTTCCATCATCTTCTTTTCAATTGTACTTCTCTTTCTCTCCCCAAATTATCCCTAATCACTCATCTTTGATACATTGGCTACCAAACTACCAATGCCAGTTTGCTCCTCAAAACTTAATCCCCTTCTACTACACTCCTTATTTAACCGGCTTGTCCTAAGTTCTGATTTTCTAATGTAAACAAAAACTTGTAATTTATAATTGCCCCCTCCCATCTTTGTATCACTCCAAACACCTATTAATATATTCGCTATACTATAATTTTTTATAAGACAATTTAATATATATATCAAAAAAAATTTTCTATCCTATAAATTATTGTTATCATCGATTCTTTATAGATAGCCGACTCGGGTTCGACTGCATTTTTCAACTGCACAACACAGGGTACGTCGATCCAGCCGCTATTTTCTTGGCTCAAAGATGGTTCGCCGATCCGAGGTTTTGGCAGACACGAGATATCACCGAAAGGCAATCACTTGACGATACACAACGTGATGAAAGAAGATAAAGGGATTTATCAGTGTCTTGCTAGAGATCCAGACACTGATGAAACAGCTCAAGCGAGTGTTCTTCTTTCGCTCGGGGGTATAACTATTTATATTTTAAAATAATACTACATGCCATGCGAAACGATTCGCCTGAAACGATACGTTTACAATTACAGTTTGTTTCAGCTGTTTCGCCCGAGTTGATGGACATTTTCCACGACCAAGTGATCAGAACAAACGGTTTCCTATCCCTTCGGTGCACAGCTTCTGGCAATCCTCCACCCAGGATATATTGGTATCTCGACGGTGGGCTAATATTACCTCAAGGAGATTACGTGTTCGGGAGTTACATGCACGTAGACGGTACGTCAAATTATAATATTCCATACGTGTAAATATCTAAAATGCACATGCATGTGTACTTAAAAATTATTAATTTTCGTTGTAGGAAATGTCGTTAGCTACTTAAACGTATCCATCGCTGATGTACTACACGGAGGTTATTATACTTGTTTGGCACGAAACATTCTAGGAATGAAGTCTCACTCAGCGGCGGTTAAGATTTACGGTATGAATAATATACTCATAAAACATAGGTGTGCAGTGCACATCATGAATGATCGAAACAATTAAATTCAACGAAAAAAAAACAGGTGATCCTATTGCGAGACCACCTTCAAATCTTACGGTGCGTTCGGAAGACGACGCGTACCTCCAATGTCCTGTAGCTGGCTATCCGATAATTAAGACGGCCTGGCAAAAAGACTTGGTGTCCATTCCGAGTCATTCGAGACACACGTTGTTCGACAACGGAACGCTGTTCATACGTTCCACGCAGGACACTTTGGATTCCGGTCTGTACGTGTGCACGAAAATCAACGAGAAGGGACAATCTGCCACGGGTCATCTTTATCTACGAATAATGAGTAAACCACGCTTTACGCGACGACACCGTCTTCACGACAGTGAATACAATGTCGTGCCTACACGTTATTTTGTCTGTTAACAGAACCGCCGGTCGTAACACCGTTTCAGTTCACGAAAGATCTACAAGAAAGTGAACGGGCCCAAGTGTCATGCACCATTAAGTCGGGAGACCTGCCGATGGAATTCGTGTGGCGAAAAGACAATAGGATAGTGTCGACGGACAACGAGATCGAGCTGCAAAATTTCAAATTTTCGAGTACTCTACTGTTTAGCAATTTGAAACCAAAACACGCGGGTGTTTACACTTGTATCGTCAGCAACTCGGTAGCTAGTAGCAATTACTCGGCTGTGCTCAATATAAAAGGTGAGGATGGTTAAATTAAAAAAAAATATCATTCGCGTAGCTCTGTTTTTTTACATTACGTTTCTGCACTTGATAAAGTTCCGCCGAAGTGGATCGTTGAGCCCGAGGATACGGCTGTGTTGGACAATCAGCTGGCGATAATCAACTGTCAAGCGGAAGGATATCCTGAACCGAGATTGACGTGGACCAGAGTATCGGGTATGTCATTAAGTAAACGTAGTTGTACGGTTCTCGTGAAATACAATTTCGATTGTTTCCGACATGGTTCCGAATTCCATGGTGCAGATAATCAACCGTTGGAACCGCTGAATAATTTCCACGAGTCGACTGTGACGGTGTTGGGCAACGGTTCGCTGGCCGTCCGGCTGACGGCCAACTCGTACGAGGACAACTACACGTGCACGGCCAACAACGGGATTGGAAAGCAACTGTCAAAGACGGTGTCGTTAAAAGTACACAGTAAGAGACGAGCACGCGCGTTTCGTTAGGCTATGATTAATCACGTTTCCGTGACCCCGCAGTCCCGGCTCGTTTCAAAGAGAAATCCGTCAGCAAGAGCGGCGTGGTGGGAACCAGGGTGGTGTTAACGTGCCAAGCGGAGGGCTCGAAACCACTGAACGTTGAATGGAGCCCTTCCGCGGAGAACATCAACACGAGGAACACGAACAAAGGGGTGATATCGGAACTGTACCTGAACTCATTGCAAAGCAGTCAGACTGGAACGTACACGTGCATGGCGACCAACCCGTACGGGTACGATCACATGACGATCAACCTGGTGGTCAGAGGTAAGCCGATAGCGTTATTAGTGTTGTTGTTTTTGTTGCTGTCGTCCCGCAGTATACGTGCGCGCGCTTAACCGTTGGTGGTGTGGTATCGTTGCAGAACCACCGGAAGCCCCAGGCCGACTAGACGTGGTGAATGTGGGCACCAGATGGTTGGAGTTTCAATGGGGTCCGGCAAAAGTGCACGCGACCCATTACGTGTTGCAGTTGTGCACGGGCGTCTGCGCGGGCTGGTCGAATTATACGGTTGGCGGCAGTCTGTCCTACACGAAAATATCATATCTGAAACCGGCCACACGGTACACGACCCGGGTAATAGCTGTCAACGATTTCGGTTCCAGCGACCCTAGCCCCAACAACACCGTCACCACTCTGGAGGATGGTGCGTGCACTCCGTTACGGTTTCGATTGACGCGTACAGTGGATTCAGCCCGACGTGGGCACCGGTCGGTATAGACAAAACTGTTCGGACCTGGATCCGAACCTGGACCCTTATAGCTAGGGCTAGGCTTATAGCTATGCATGTTTTTTTCCCTCAAGTTCACGATCTCACTTACTGTCGATTGAATGGAACTATTTTTTTTTTCGCATATTTATAGATTTTTTATTATATTGTTAATTTTAAATGGTATTTATAACTTATAACCGACTAGGTTGAAAAAAAAACCGCATAACATGGGCACTCATATGGTCAATATTCATTTTATCATAAGGTTAGAATATGTATTAACACTATTACCATAGTGTTTTCTTCGTGTCTCTGAGACTGTGTTTCATCAAAGCTGATAAAAATCATAAACCTTTGTTGTGAGGTTAATCAACCACATAGGAATGTTATCGAAAGCTACATAATAATAAAATAAATAAAGCGGTAAACATGTAGATTTCTTTTCCTAACTCGACAACGATTATTTCAATTTAACTGTGAATTTCAACGCGATTGCGAACACTTAAGATAACGTCTCCAAAAAATAAAATAGCGATTTTGTACAACCTAAAGTCTCTTCCTACAAGCATTTAACAACGTAAAATCGTTGAACAATTATGTGTCCTGAGATTATGTTATTCTTTAATATTTTATGTTTTTATTTAAAAATTATTTAATTTAACATTTTTTTTTCTAAATTTACAAAAAAAAACTTTTCTCGGTATTAATAATGTTGATGTTTTTGAGCTAAATTCAGTTTATATAGCCAACATTTTAATGTTCGCAAAAGAGTTTGGTCCCAACGGGTCCACATTAAGCCGAATCCACTGTATATATAAATATTTATTTATTTATATATCCATATTGGTATAAAATATTTAACCCTAAAACTGTTTTAATCCAGAACCCAGTGCCCCTCCGATCAGTGTAGAAGCGATTGACGTTGAAACGAATCGAGTGACGATTCGATGGAAAGTAAGTGAATTCGTAAAACTAATAATAATTTGGTTCGTCTACGTTACAAAATCTAATGGGTACCGATTTATTGTAAATACATCATGCCTATGTAATAGGTACAATAATTCGCAATAAAATGATAATTATTATGTTTGAATATATTGTGTTCCACAATATTTATTTGTACTTTTTATTATTGAATACGATTTAAGCGCTTGCACACATGCATGAATCACAATTGCCTTTTACAACGCTGCACAGTGGAAGGAATTGCATTTCTAGCTGGCCAAAAATTTAGCACCTATTAAACAAAGTTCGACACTCACAAATAAATATTTTTTTTATTGATTTAATATGCACAAACATTTCCTTACTTTAATTTTAATAACATACTTCAATACTTATCTCGAGATAGATAACTGTTTAGAAAATACAGTTGAGGCAAGTAAACATTGAAATTATGAAGTTGGATAATATTATCAACAAAATAATTTTATTTTTTAACAATAAACATTTATGTAAGAAATTTAAAAAAAAATGCATTATTTTCAAATATTTAATTTATGTGATACTTAATCGGATAACAAAAAAATTAATAAAACTAAAAAATTCAGAATAACTACTACTTATTTCACTGTTACAAGTTTCTATTTCTTTCTGTTCTGAGCTTTCAATATCAAGTAAATTAATGGCTTCTGGAGGTAATTTAGTTTTTGATTTGTTAAGTTGCGTTCTTAAACTTGTAATTAATAGATCAGATGACACTAATAAGAAATTAAAAAGATATGTGTTTGTATAAATACGTTATGATTTTCGAGAATGATGTACTCAGAATCGATTATAGTTTTTATTACTTGCCTCTTGGGCATCTTCCTTTGACTTTCCCTTACCTCTAAAGTGGAATTATTTCGCTTATAATAATATTTTCAGGTTATCATCTATCTTTAGCTAACTGAACTCTATCATACGAAGGATATATATCAGCCTCATGTTTTTTAGCACCTATAATCTAGTTTTGTAATACGAATTTTTAGTCATGCGAGTATTAATGATAAATATTACATCCTTATCATCTGTGTAAGAACTATATTTATTTTACGCTTCATTTTTATAAAATGTTCTAATCTTTATCACACGTTGAGGAGAATACTCGGTTGCGTGGGAAACAAGATCGAATGCAGCACGTTTTTCTTCAACATACAATGTCAATTTTACTGCACAGATTCATTTATATGATGAAGTTATTTCTCTCAAGTTTTTTTATTTGTCTGCGCTTAGAACGATCACTTGACTTTAAAAAAGATTAACGTGGCCTATCAGAACTTGTAAAAGGTTCATACGATTCTTTACATTTCTTCAATAAAAGAATTTTAAATTCTAAATCCAACCACATCATTTTTTTTTTAAAAAAATGTAGTCAAAAAGTTATTTGAGTTTAACTATTTCTTATTTAACTTACTACTAAATTCTTCAACTTTTTTTAATACATTAATCAAATTTCTCATTGCCTTCTAAACTCCCACTTTTCTCCCAGCCTATGAGTTTTGTAAGTACTCATTGCGTTTCGTGATTCATAAGTACTTGATGCAAAAACATTATTTTTCAAAACTTCGAATAAACAGCGATTTTTTACGTTGCTTCTTTCATCTAGAAAAATATATTTATTTCAATAAGAGGCAAATTGGGGCAAATTATAAATGTCATATTTCAAAGTATATATATATAAGCTTAAACTAAAAAAAAATTCACACTTCTAAGAGCCCCTAAAAAAAAATGTCTACAAAATGAAAATGAAATAAATAATTCATGATATCTATGAATTTTTATTACGACATTTTAATTAATAAATAGTACTTAGAACAAATGTAACTTAATTATTTCTATTGGTTAATTTATTTTTGATTTAGCAAAAAACAATTAGATTTTTACTTATGAAATAACGACAATGGACAAAACTAAAATGAAAACTGCGTGAATAACAAGCGATTACCATATGATACGCTACATTCAATAATCTTTCAGTACTTTACCTACTCCAATCAGTTCATTAATTAACAATTATTACATAATGTGATATATTTACCATCGTCATATCAGTGGCAACAAATATTCCTGGTTGTAATCGTTAATCACCATACATAAATTTTCTATTTTTGGCCAGCTAGAAATGCAATTCCTCCCACTGTACGCCGTTTATAAAGTATATTAATTGTTACAAAACTTTATTATATCGATTTTAAATAATATAAATTACACAAATGATTTCAAATTTCCGATATAAAATTCAAATAATCATCGCTATTGTATATTAAACCAATTATATAGGTCTAGGTAAAGATTATACCCAGTTTAAATTAACCAAAATAGCTCTAAAATGGCAATTTATTACATTCATTCTATATAATAAAATTGACATATTTTATATTGATTTTCTTTAGATTAAACAAACATTTAAAATAAATATATAGCATGATATTATAAAAAAATAATAGGTTAGTGTATTAAAATATATATTTTTTATTCATTATTTATATAATACGAAAATAATTAATTGATTAATGTGATTGCATTTGACAACGTTCTCAAACGAAAATATTAAAGTAATAAAATAATAAAAAATAAAATAAAAATTACTAACGATCAATTCTCACAAATTAATATATAAACAAATAGATAAGATTTATATGGAAATATATAAAAATATTTAAGTTTTGTTTGATTGAAAGATATTTAAGAATCTCCAAAATCGGAAATAAACCAAAAAGTATTTAGGTGCTCATATCCAGCTATATTATAGTATTCAAATGACATATTGTGGTAATCAATTGTTTAATATAACAATGTCATTTCATATGCAGCCTCCGGACAAAGATACATGGAACGGCCAAATCATCGGTTACAAAATATCGTACGCGGACATCAATGAAATCGCAGAAGTAAACGTCAAGACGACCGTTGGTCACGAACATTGTGAAGTTCAAATTACCGACCTAAAGCCGTTTACAACGTATAGAATCACGGTGAAAACTTTCAACAGCGTCGGTCCCGGGCCGGATTCGGACTTTATACGAGTGACGACCAACGAAGGAGGTAAATCGAACGTCCGGAACGACAGACTTGTTACTAGGATAGGTTACTTAACCTATCGGGTAGCCTAAACCAATTGATTTAATGACAATATAATGATTCACCATCCTGTTGTTGAAATTGGCGACGGCTATATATATATTGGTAGACGTAGCTGTTATACTGTTATGTGGTACTGTAATACTTTGTGTTCAACTCGAAAAGACTAAGTGTTCGACAATTAAAACAACTTTTAAAAATTTTCTTTTTTTTTTTTTTGTTTCCTAGTGACTGGTATTGCCGATAACGAGTGAGCCGTTGGCTTTTTCAGACACTTTCAACAACATTTTTTAACCAATTTTCTACCTCTAAAATACCAGCTTTCGATATTTTCCCGCAATCCTTCAACATCCATGATTTAAGAACATAAACATTCTTAAGCACCTGATCACTTCTTTCATCCGCCTTTAAATAGGACACAGTTGAATTCTTCATTATTTGCTCGAGCTTTCTCTTAATTCTACCTCATTTTAAGTAGCCAACACTATGAGAAAACAATTTATATTTTCTACCCTTTAATTTTCAGTTCACCCTTTTCTCTACCTAGCAGACAATTCCTATAATGATTTCTATCTTTTCTAAATTATCTTTTCCTCGACTCAAATATTCATCTCAACACTCGTTTCGATGACCTTGATAAAAGTAACTAAAAGTAACGAAAAAATGCCTTTCCGTTGGTGAAAAACTGTTTTTATCAAATTAAATTAAAACAAGTACAGTGACGTCTAGCGGCTGCGTGATAGCGTGTCTGGTTATTCTATAGTTAATGCTTAAACTTATTACGAAATATTTTTCTAGTGCCGGGTGAACCGCCGCAAAATGTGCAGTGTTCCCCGTTGACCGCAGAATCGTTACGGATGAGTTGGGATCCGCCGCCCATGCAAAGCCATCACGGTATTATAATGGGTTACAAGATACATTACAAAAAAGTACACCCTGAGTCAGGTACATAATAATGATGTCTGACGACGCTTTGCGTGACGGCTGATGATTAAACATAATGATAACATTAACAAAGTATTATTAAATATGTAAATATAATTTATTAAAAACTGTTAATATATATTCTCAATGGTATACCAATATGAATTAAATTATAAAAGTTTTTTAATAAAACACAAACTGAAGTAGTCTGCCTTGACCCAGAAGTATTTCCCTGCTTCAGATTAGAGCAATTACTATATCGATGTATCGTATACGCCCATTGACTTGTGCATATAGACGCCAAAAAAACACATATAGAAATTAAGGCAACACTTAAAGAAAAAAAGTTAACAAGCTTCCTATTGTGGCCGAGTTACACAACCACTATACTTCTTTATTGGTTTTTGTCTTCTCTCTTATATATATTTAGCTTAACCTAATTACACATATTGCTTACACGTTAATTTGTAAATTTGCGATGCCCTCATATTTTATATTATAATCATCATCTATTGTGGTATATTTTCGTAAACTAATGACAGTTTGAAAATAATATATGCTAATTTTAACATAGTATAAAAAATGTTGTTTTACATTTATCTTTTTATACACTAAAATGTTATGATAAGCTATTTTTCTATTGCAACATGAATACACGTTTATTTTAGTTATTTTAATATTTCATTTGACATGGATCTAAATTGCCTAATACTACAGATGAAATAAAATAATTTAGATAGAAAAGGGACATCGTATATTCTAATTATATTTATTTTTATTTACTTATACTATTTTATTTTGCATACACCACAATCTATGATTATTAAAATCAATATATTAAACAAAAAATAATGATACCATGTTATCATAATGTTCAGTACACAAATCCAGATCACTAATCAAAACAGTTTCAATTTTTGAAAATGCGATTTTGAAAAATTCTTTCTCGGTTCACCTATAAATAATAATATGTATATCAGTTCAATATTTCAAACGAATCGATTTGATAGATTTAACTGTACAATGATCAATGAGTGAGCAATTAAACTTTGAATTTCATATATTTATATAATATATAATAACTAGTTTATATATATATATATATATATATATATATATATATATATATATATATATATATATACTGAACCGGAAAAAAAACAAAATAAAATAAAATAATTAAAAAATAAATAAAAATATTCTTACGTAGATTATTATTGTATAACATGAGCCATACATTTACAATCGATAAACTCTGCTGATTTTTGTCGATTTTTTATTTTTATATTTAATTAATACTAATATTACTTAATTATTTCAATAAATTATTTATACATTTAACATCATTAACAATACTTTGTTTTATTTTAAGAGGAATATCGATCGCAGAACAATTTGTATTTTCTATGTATAACATAATATACGTATGTTGAATTCCAGGATCGTTCGTTCTAAACGAGATGAAAAAAACGACCAATTTGGAGACGAATCTGCACGCGTTGGAAAAGTACACAAATTACAGTGTACGTGTTTTGGCGTACACCAAGGTCGGTGAAGGGGTACAATCGAATCCAGTGTACTGTCTAACCGAACAAGATGGTAAGTGGTCGATTGTGGTAACGTCACGTTATAATACTTGATGCATATATGTGTCGATTTTTTTCCAGTTCCCGGGGCTCCAGACAATGTGAAAGCATTAACGGTAACGTCCAGCAGCATTCTGGTGTCTTGGACTCAACCGAAACGGCCGAACGGCGTAATCATCAAGTACACGGTGCACATAAAACACAATAAAGTAAGCATAACGGTTGCGGATGTTAATGAATTCGGTCAGTATTTAAGTGTCTTGGAAGCATAAACGCACATACAGGAGTTCCAGGAATACTTAGCACCCCACGGACTACCTTTGAGTGAATAATATTAGCATGCCCAAATTGTGCACTAAGTGTGCGCCTATGCTTGAAAAGCCAAGGCAAAACCAATTATAGGAGGTCCCTTCAAAAAATATTAACTTATTGACCTACATTTTATCTATTATTCTTCAATGCGATGTGTTTAAATTAAATGATAATAACAATATGAATGAATTTAAAAAAAAATTAATGTCCAAAGACTGATTTTGTATTAGATTTTTTTTTTTTTTTTAAATATTTTGTACAATTCGTTGAATCTGATAGTAAAATGTTTTTCAGCTATACAATTATTATCATATTATACGATCGTAATATATTGATTCACGTCATTAGAAAAATCTACGACTTGCACTTGAGTTCGTAGTGCATTGCATCCTAACTAAATCCGACAGTGTTTTAGTAAAGATACAATTTTTATTTATCCGAAGTAAATCTCCGATCGGTTACAGATCGTCGACAAGGAAATAGTGTTCGGTGACAAGAGCACCAAGATCGAAGTGAGACAGCTGAAGGAATTCCAACGGTACGAGTTTTGGGTGACCGCTGCAACGGTGGTGGGCGAAGGACAGCCCAGTTTCCGCGTGAACCAGAGCCCGAACTCCAGAGGTAAGGATTAGTGCATAACAAATACTGTGACGTATCTCATGCTTGTGATCGAAAAACGTCCGAATAATAATGAATATAACGTATTATAATGCGATGATAAAATCGATTTGCCGCAGCACCGGCCAGAGTGGCGTCGTTCGGCGAACACGTAAACGTCGTGGTCGGAACTAAGGTCACGATCGAGTGTTACAGGGTGGGCATGCCGACGCCCGTGGTCATATGGAAGGCACCGGAAGACGTCGAGACGAAGTGAGTGAAACCGAAAATCTTCGCGTTCCCGATTAGCTATAGCAAAGGATGGGAACGATTTATCGATGTATCGAAAATGTCGATACATGAAGTCGTTATATCGTGACATTTTACATCGATACAACGTTACCGATATATCTTCTCGGTATTATCGTGTCCAAAGATATTTTTATGTGATTAGTCTTCGGGTAATCATCAATAGATATATTGGTATACTATATTAAATACTATTATAAATTATTTGAGATGTTATATATAAATATTTATATATTATTATATAAATAAAATTATTTCCATTATAATTTTCTAGGTGTATACTGCAATATATAGAAATTTATTAATATGATTCTGGTTTTATAAAATATTTTATAATTTTGTTAAATATACATGCTATAATTTATCAATTTATTTGTCATTATTCCTGTAATAAGTATCGATTACAAGTTACGACCTCGGCCTACGGCTTATAGATATAAATTGCATTCAAATAAATTATAACCTATTAACTATGTCCTATTTGCAAGTCTATAAACTTTTATTCAATATTGGAAACATTTTCCGACATATATCGATACATCGATACAATAGAAGTCGATATATCGTGGTACCGATATTGGGTATGCGTTATATCGAAATTACGATTTATCGATGGTTAACGATTTTTTGCCATCCCTAGCTATAGCTAGTACCCACGTGATGCTGAACCGATGTCGCGATAACCGACACCGTGTGTCAGATAATTGGGAAATGTTAATGAAACCGAAACCAGCGAAACCCTTTAATTATACAAACTCGACAAGACTATATATACAACAGTATAACCAGTGCTCGATTTGTAGGAGGGTGCAGGGGGACGGAATACCCCAACTAATTTTCAGAAATTTTAGCGTCCCCCTACTATTATTACGCTATAATAATAACGCTAAGCCAGTTTTGGGGACGTCCTTTGTTTTAAAGTAAATAGAGTCCCCTTCTTTAATTTTGCCAAATCAAGCACTGATTATAACATGCGTAGTCGGTGCATGAACCGAAACAGTCAGCCAGATCGGACCCAAAGTCTCTGTTATGCGTGCGTCGTAGATAGTACAAGACGAGAAACAATTTTGGGCAATCAGCGTGCATCTACATTGGTGACGTTGAGTCCGATACCTATACGCTTCGCGATTCTATTCCGTAGCCCTATCCGTGCCAATGATAAAAGGTGAAACCGATAAGCCGCACGTCAATTCGCATTTATTTACATTATAAGGTCATTTTTAAAATAGACATAGGTGTTTCACTCAAAAAAAGCATAAATGACCGATTGAATGTTTCAAAAATGATAAACAATTCGATTAAATTTCGGTAAACCTCGTTATTTCAATACGCTTTTGATAACAAATATATTGAAAGAAGACTTGAAATGTAAATTATATTCCTTCAGTAATGTGGAGAAGAGTCAAAATAATAAAAGTTTACGAACCACGATTTCTACCGACTTTGTAATACCGACTTATCTGATTACCGGGGAGTGAAAATAAAACAATATCGGTATAATTAACCCCAGTCAAATGCTATTTATTTATTTTTTTGTTTTTTTTTTCTCATCAACTCATCATCTCCATCGTTACACCCCGCGTATTACCATTTCAGCGTCCTCTCAGACGGCAGCCTGTCCATCGGCCCCGTGGACGACAAAATGTACGTGGGCAACTATACGTGCCACGTGGAGAACATATTTGGCATGGATCAGATATCTTACACGCTCCATATCCTGTACCCTCCGTCGCCACCGGAATTCGACGTGGACCCCATCTCAACCAGCGCTATCCTGGTCCAGTGGAAACCGGTTAAACAGCCGGACGCGGTGACTACGGGTTACTTGCTGACCTACCAGACCGGGGACGAGCCCCCGCACAGGATAGAGGTGGATTCCGACCGTTTCACGTACACGATGGACCGGCTGAAGTGCGGTTCCAAGTACACAGTATCCATGCAAACCGTGAACACGGTCGGGACGAGCAGGGTCAGTCGGGTTGAGGAAGTGTTCACCAAAGGCGGAGGTGAATTACAATAATCATGTAGAAAGAAACCTGAAAGCGCAGGAAACCCATATCTACGTCAACGCTATCTTCACTGAAAATCCAAAGCATTAAAAATAATACACGTTTTCAATCACCGTCCCTTTTATCCGTAATATTATCGATTCTGACGAAATGGTATAATAAATATTTCAAACAAACGTTTTCTCGTATTTCACATATTGTTTTTCTTTTTAAACCTCATTAAAAAAACATAATTTAAAAAACCAATAACTTATATCATAATTTAATCACATATGACTATAACACAATATTTAATTATAGTCCCAAAGTCTTTTAACTTTCACTCACCCCTACAGTATTATTTTGTTCTAATACAAACAACCCGAACGCTATATTACATTATTCTGTTTATCGTTACAAAAATGTTAGGTTTTCTTCGAAAATAGAATACAGAATGCTACTCGTATACTTTGGAGAATTTCTTTCCTTATCCCTATTCCCCTAGGGCTGACGGATAATCCGCGTAACAGAAAATTTCATCTGTATTCTCCTCCAGTGGCGTACCTGTGGGGGGGGCAACAGGGGAATTTCCCACCCCTAGAAATTTTTTTATGCCATAATGCAAATTAATTGTTCAGCTTAAATAATGTAAATTATAAATATTTTTAATTTTCACTGATTATAATCGTGTTTGATATCAAAAGTTTTTGATATCACTTATCAAAAATCGAATATTAATATTCGACCGAATTGGGATTAGAAGTGATGGTCACATACAGTCACTATTTTATAATGTGATTATCATTGATATCAAGTGATCAACATGAGTTTTAAGTATTTGGTAATAATTTATAATAAAGTTTCAGATTATATCATAACAATAAAAAATTGTGCAATTAATTTATGCCTCCCCCCCCCCAAAATGTTTCACAGGTACGCCACTGTTCTCCTCCGTTCCTCGATACCTCGTCCCCGATGTCGTCACCTCCTCGACCGTTTCTTATCTGCATCAACTTGTTCGGTAACGACAATTATTCATTTTTAATCGTTTCTTTTTTCCGGCACTTTTTTGACTACGTGTTCGCCGCGTTCCGAATCATGTATCGAAAACCGAGTTGGCATGATTAGTTAGAACGATCTGGTACAGTAATAATAACGTATGTCTCTGTTTGGACAGTGCCCAAGGAACCGAACAAGGACGCGGTGCTGTCGGTGAACTCGACCAGCATCACGTTCACGTTCGGCTCGTGGCCGACGCAGATGTGCAGCATACACTCGTTCACGTGCCAGTACACGGTCAACGGCAACGGAGGCGTGTGGGTCAAGTACCCCAGACAGAAGATGGCTGGCGACACGTTCACTGTGGGTCGGCTTCAACCGGCCACCGTCTACACGGTTCGCATGATCGTGCACACGGACGCGGGCGATACGTCGTGGGAGCACAGGTTCGCGACCCGCACCAAGTCCGGAGGTAAGTTCAAACCGAATCTATGATAGTTAGGTAGACCTACATTAACAACCGATAATACTATAACGTGTTTGTATTTGAACGTGTGTTCTGCTTTGGTGACTTTGTTCAGTAATGCATTTATTACGGAACTGAATCAAAGAAACTTTAATGAATACTTAATCAAAATTAAGTCGCCATGTACACTATTATGCGAATATTATCTGAATTACCTAGCGTCACTAGAGAGACATTTTACTGCTTAATGTTAGAAAAATTACAATTTTGGTACAAAAAAATGTTAGTTCGAAAAAGCAATTTTTTTTTTTTTTTGGTATTCAACCTTAAGGTTGGTTTTGCAATTGAATATTCGGTCTCCACTCTTCTCCGTTCTCAATTCGGTGTAACTTTTCAGTCCAGCCTTAGAGATCATTTGTTTGACAAATGAAATTCTCGGTGCCTTTTACCTTCAACTATCCCTTCTATAATTCTATGGGTTAGTTCATTTTCATGTCTCAATATATGGCCCATCATGTTCCGTCGTCTTGTTCTGATGCCTTTGAGTATCTCTCTTCGTTTGTCCATTTCACTGAGTATATTTTCGTTGGTACAGTGTTTTATCCAAGCATCCTTCTCCAATACCACATTTCAAAGCTTTCAAGTGTTCATTGTTCTGTCTTATTTAATACCCATGTTTCACAACCATAGAGTATCACACTCCATACATATTATTTGATGAAATGTTTCCTCATCTTAATAGATCATTTTGTTTTAGGTTAGTTTTTGGTCTGATAACATTCTTAACATCAAATGGTGGTCCAACTTTGAATGTTTCTAATGTCAATAGGTTAAATGTTCCTTAGTTTTTTTTAAAAAAATATTATTTTTTAAGTTTTTACTTTTAACGTTTATAACTTTTATTAGCTTTTATTAACTTTAAATAGTGATAACATTTTGTAACATTGACACACCTTATAATGTGTGATTATTTAAGTAATCATGCTAGGAGCCATGCTAGGTGATGTAAAGCGCAGATATTTGGAGAAAATTGAAGTTTTAGGTCCAAGAGATCCCTATATTTTAATGAAGGACTTAAGTATCATCTGGACAACTGACTTGGAGATTTTACCACCAATTACTTACCCTGACATTTTCAATTATTTAGTTTTAACCAAAAGTTTTTATACTTTAGAGCAGTTTAAGGCATATAAAAGTTTGGATGCTTACAACTTTTTTGTGTCTGGTTGAGTTTTTAATGCCAAATGGCTTGCTTTAAATAATTATATTCTTGTAGTTGCTGAGGTAAGTAAGTTTAGTAATTTAAGCACATGTTCAATACTAACATTAATAGGTTTACATGATTTACATTTTCTTTTTTTTTTTGACAGTATTTCTACTAAGCTAAATAATATTGCCAATTAATTTTTGAACCCCATATTGAGAATTTTACACTTCATGATAAAGGCCCAGTAGCACTATTCAATATTTTTCCTCTAAAAGGAAAATCTAAGAGTAACCATATGACAATAAAATCTTATGAAATTTAATCTTGCAAAAAAAAAAATTGTATACATTTAATTTATGTTAAGTACTAATATTTTACAAGTGTTGGGTAAGTATTTTTAAAAATTAATTAAGTTGCTTTACTCGTTACTCATATAAAATTGTAATGAAATTAGATACTTTCCTTATCAAATAGAAAAGTAATTACATTACTTTCTCATTACTAAAGACCGGATTTATATGTTTTTACATATCATTACTTGATCTATGCAGTTGTATGAGAGTAAAAAATGTGGACGATTCATTCAATTCTGAGTTTATAGAAAAAAGTTTTTTTTGCATATTTGAAAATATATCATAGGTTATAGAATATTTAGTGCATTAAGCCATGACTTGCGCTGTGCCAACAAAAGTGCATTTATATCGGATGCGACATTTTTCCTGACTTTGGGAAAACGATCGAAAGAAAGACCTTTATTGGTTGTCTTGATGAAACACTCAAACACTGCACACAACGTAGGCATTTTTAAAATTTGCGTTAATTAAATCAAAACTTAACGGAATACAGTAGGTAAATTTTGAAATCTGGACCACCAAGGAATTATAAAGCCTAATTGATAAGATGCACTAAACTAATCTATACTCATGTGATTGGAGCATAACAATTTTTTTTCTTTTATAAATGCTGACTTTCCCTGTGTAATCTGGATCTTATTTCTATGATGTATCTTCCATCTTGGTTGACTATATTGCCTAGGTATTTATAATGTACTACTTGTTCAAGCAGCTTGTTCCCTGTTTGAATATTAATTATATGGATTCGTTTTTCTTTTTGGCACATCATAGCTTTAGTTTTTTGTCAGTTGATAATCAGATGATATTTTTGGAAGCATCTCGTAATTTTTTCCAGTGATTTTTCGTAATCATTCTCATTATTTGTTAGTAGTGCAATATCATTAGCGAATCTTAAGAAAGATATTATTTCGCCACCTAATTGTATACCTATATTATTTCTGTACAGTCTTTCTATATCTGTTCGATAAAGATATTAAATACAATTGGAGAGAGTGGACAACCTTGTCTTACACCCTTCCTAATATTGCTGTCTCTTTTTTGTCCATTACTTTTATTGTAGCTGAATGGTATTTGTATAAATTATATACTCGTATTATCCTTCTACCTCTATAGTCAGCTCCAATTCCTTTAAAAGTATAGAATAATTATTCTTTCCACGGTACCTTATCAAAAACATTTACCAGATCTATAAACGCTATAAATGTGTCTTTATTCAATTCTGTTTGTTTTTCTATCAATATTCTAAAGCCTAAGATTGCCTCTCTAGTACCTTTGTTCCTTTTGAACCCGAATTGATCATCGCTTAATTCTTTTTCTACTATGTTCTCAACCATTAAACTTATTGTTCTGAATGCATTACATTTATCAACCGTTATTTTTTTAGGTATAAGTATTATAATGCTCTCCTTGAATTCTTTGGGGATCTTTCCTGTAGTGCATATATCATTTAACTAGTTTAAATAGCTCATCTTGCAATTCTGTACTCATATTTTGGATTAGTTCCATTGCTATGTAGTCCATACCTACTACTTTACATGTTTTCATTTGCTTCAAAATTTTATGGAACTCGTCTCTCTAGATGACTGCCACTGCATATCTGGGTTATTATTGAAATTGGCTGTTTCTCCTTCTTGGTATAAAACTTCAAGATATTTTTTCCATCTTGTTGCTATTTTTTCGTTGACCGGTATCAAGTTTCTATCCATATCTCTTATTTTTCTGTTTAGTTTTGTTTTTCCTCCGAAAAATTTCTTAATTATGTTAAACGCATGATCCATCCTATTATTTCTAAGCAACTGTTCCACTTCTTTGTACTTTTATTTTAACCATTTATCCCTTGCAAATTTCGCTTCTCAATTAATTTTATTCTTTAGCTTCTTATATATTCGTATTCCACGATTATCTTTGGCGTTTTTATACTTTCTTCTCTCTTTAATATCTCTTATAATGTTATCGTTTATCCATGATTTCTTAAGCTCAGATAAGTTTCTTTTCAAATAGTTGCTGGCTGCTTCATGTATTATATTCTTAATTTTATTCCATTTATCTTTATTGGTATCACTTGGAAATGGCGGGTTTAATATTAATTTTTCATTGATGTAGGATTTTTATGTTGTATTTATGTTATTATCTTTTAGTATTCTTAAATCATATTCCTTTGTTTTTTAAGTTGCTCTTGTTAGTTTCTTATACACTACAACAAATTTCATCATGAGGAGATTATGGTCGTACGTCAGCGCCTAGGTATGTTTTACATCTATGTATCTAATTTCTGAACCTCTTTTACACTATGATATATTTGATATATTCGAATATCCCCTGGCATTTTCTAAGTGTATCTTTTTTGGCGGTGAATATTTTGGAATGTGTTAGCTGTGATCATATCATATTGCCTGTAAAAGTCAACAATGTGGTCTTTTATTTCATTTCTAATTCCTAGTCCAAATGTTCCTACTTCTTAACCTTCTGCACCTTCTCCAAATATCGCATTCCAATATTCCATTATTATTAAATTATCTTCTACTTTTGCTAATTTTCAAATCTCTTCTAGGCCAGAATAGACCTTTTTTATAGCATTATCTTCTGTATCTGATGTGGAGAAGTACACTTGAATTAGTACAATATCATTTGGTTTAGCTCTAAGCTTAATTAATATAAGACAATTGTTATATGCTATTTTGTTCACTATTTTGTGGCCCCATTTTTTATTTCTAATAAGTCCTACACCAGCCCTTCCTGGTTTTTTAAAACGAATATATATATATAACTGTGATTAGTTATAATACACATTTATTATAAGACTTGAAAGTATACATCATTAAATAATAAATAATTTTTACCAATTTTCAACTTAATATATTTTATTTTCTTACAAAAAAAAAATGGTTTTCTCTGTAATAAATAAGACTACAAGGCTCACTTAAAAACAAATTACAAAACATAGAAAACTTATTTAAAGTAACTTTGTCCTTTTGATAAAAAAAATTATGTGGTGCAGAAAGTTATGAGTGAAATTAAATTTTTATCTTTTTTTTTTTTTTTTTTTGCAGAAATTAATAAAATTAAAAATCGAATGATGTAAATTATGTGTACGAATGGTTTTAATAGTGTGAGTACATAACAGTATATATTTAATGTACAATTTTAGCCTGGGTCACGACTTAATTTGATTATGGATACAATATATTTGAACCAGAGTCGACTTCGATTTAATGATTAAAAAAAACTTTCATACACTTATATTAAAATGGTTCGTTAAATCATATTAATAAAATTGAGAACTTCCTCTATTCTAAAACATAAAAAATATAAAACAAACAAAAATCGATGATTTTTTAAGTAGGCAATATAAAATAATATGTAATATAAATGTAATAATTCACACTGCAAGGTAAAAAATATAATATGTATATAACATGGATATATTATATAATATAAACATTTTTTTTTCCCCCGCATAATACAATTTTCCGCTTAAGACACTATTTTTAACTTGTCCCTTGAAGAACGTCTTAAACGGGTTCTACTGTATAAATATTAATACGTAAAGATGGATCACATGTGAGGCCATGAAATATTAATCGTTGGAAAGGTATTGTCGAGTAGATTTTCGGTGGAGAAAAGAGAAAAAATTTAGACGCATTACATTTTCATCGAGACGGGTTAGGGCACTTCAAAGTTAACACGTTTTCGAATAGTTTTTCTTTAAACTGGTTAGGATCAAAGACTGTAGTTACATGAACGAAAACCATTATTTGTTAACCCATCCCTACAGGTCGCATGATTTTTTTTTTTTTTATATTTGGTTGTGCGGGTTACATATTTTCCACAATACAAAATATTTTTAAATAATTAAACTTTAAATTAACATACAATTAATGAATACAAATAATTAATGTATTCATGTTATGCAAATTATAATGGATATTATTTTGTAAATAAAATATTAAAACCATAAAACAAAACTATTGTTATTCTTGGAGTGTGTGTAGAAAAAAAAAATATATATATATACATCCAAGTACACTTTGTTGAAATTTAGGAGCAGGATTGAACACCTAAATTTTTTATCGTCTACATTCCTGATTGTCAGTCCTGTTATTATAAAATTTTCGCTAATCGGTCTTTATGTAACAGTATACCTATTATATCTATAGAAGAAGTATTTGATATACGGCCGATGGGGTTGTTTCAACACCGAAACATGCCCCTCCTGGCTACACCACTAATCGATACCGTTTGCAATATTATCACAGTACGATGTCAAATGATACATAGTGATTATAATATGGCAGTGGCGAATCCAGGGGGGTGAACTCCGAGTCCGGACCCCCCCCCCCCTCTTGGCTCCTGCCATAGTATTTATTTTTATTTTATATTTTTTAAAGTTACCCTGAAGTTTTCATCAAAACTTATTGATTAGAATTATTATTAGAGTTGGTATATTGTCGATAACATGACGAACCTGATAAATAGATAAAATCAACGATTTTCAATATAACCTACTATATCATAATAGTTGCAACCACAGTGTAAGATAAAATATATGAAATATATAAAAATATAAATAATATGTATTCGTATATTAAATAATATAATTGTGTTTATGATGTATATACTCAGGAAAAAAACAGAAAACAGGAAATAAATACATTTTTTTCCTAGACCCCCCCCCATGAATAAATCCTGGTTATACCACTGTAATATGGTCTTCCGCAGGTGTAGTTCCGTTTCAACTGTACGACGACGGCGATGGTGACGGTGGTGGCAGTGGTAACTACGACCTGGGTTTACCGAATTTCGCGCAGATGCATAAATACGTACCGGCTGTGTCGGCGCTCGTTTGCGTCATATCGTTTTGCATTTGTATATGCGTGGTGATACAACGAAGGTAACATCAACAACAGAAACAATAACATGCGCCGCTCGCGTTCGGAACCAGACGGGTTTTATTTTTAAATTTTCTTCTCCGTAGATACACGCGGGTAATACCTATATAGTTTTTCAGCAAAGAAATAATGTACTTTTGTTTTTGAAACGAAAGAAAAAAAACCCGTACTTGACGAAGATAAAATACGTATTACACTCGACGGGCGATCGTCAGTTTTCGCTGCGTTTACGAAATTTTTCAAAATAGCATAAGCATGAAACGTGTGAATCGTGTTCACCATCTCCCGGGTAAGGTGTGTCAACACATAGGTACTGCACGAGATAAAACGCTAGACACTTACACGTGCCTGTTAAACGTAATCAAAAAATATAATTTTCGAATCCCGATCAAACATCATAGTAATATAATATCGGTTTCGTTTGATCTGAAGTTTCTGGATACAAAATAACGTTCTTATCGGATCATTTTCTTTCATAAACGCATGTTAAGCAAAACCAATGCGCACAACTACTGACTAAGCTGGAACATTGTGATTGCAGACGCAGATCTATTGGGGGACCACCCCACTCATTGTCCGTATCAAAATATGTTACTGATTTAGTTTATTTAAATTTAATATTTTATGTTATTCTATGTAAATGTATTGTTATATTATTCAGTCAAAATCTTCAAATTTTTCATTTATAACATAAATTTATAAATTGTTGATAAGAACATTATTCTTTAGACCGACTGAGCAACGACGGCCGTTGACTTCCAACCATAGGCGAACATTTGGTTGAATTTTTGAGAGGGCTATGCTAATTCAATGTAAAATAACCCGCAGCGACTTCGTCCTTATACCCCTTTCCCATACAAAAGTAAAACTTATTACTATTAAAAATATGAATATGTTTAAATTGTATTGAAAAAAAACTAAATAACGTATATTTAAAAATGATTAATATTTTATTTTAATGACAAATATCTATTTGTATCAGCAAATATATTTAAAATATCATCATTATTTATATTTTTCGATATAACTTTTTCAATATATAGTATTAAAAAATCGCTGAACTTATCATGAACCAACGATGTTCTTAGCCAAGTTTTTATTTTTTTTCATTGCACTGAAACTTCTTTCGTAAGTAGCCTAACTAATTAGTACTATTAATGCTATTGTAAATATATTTTTATTATTTCTTGTTTTATGATTTTATAAAAAACGAACAGATAATTATAAAAACAACGAATAACATTTCTAACAAGGTTTCGATTTTGAGGGGGCTAAGCCCCCCTCCCACGATGTCCACTTATGCTGCCAACCTCATAGGGTTTTGTCCTAAAAATATCTTCGACTATCTGAAATATATCTGTATTTATTGGTTATCCATTCACTGCATAATATAATAATGCATAATTGCGTTATTACCTGCATAATACTAAGATTGTTGTATTAACCAGTGGCGCTCGCAGGGGGAGGGGATCCCCCGAAATTTTCTCCAATGTCTTGATTAGAATTTACAAATTTTACAAGTTTGAAATATGAAGAGCTAATATTGAGTACCTAGTATCATTGATTATATAATACTCTATTCTATTATCAATGCTATTATTTAAGCCAAAATATATAAAGTATTTGCATAATTTTGTTAATTGTAAAATGTGTTATACTCTTACATTGACCCCCCTCCCCGAAAAAAAATCCTGTGTTTGCCATTGGTGTTGACTGTCGACCATAGAATGAAGATAATTCTTTTAACAGTTCGAAACACAACAATCATCGATTCACAAGTATTAAGTATTCCTACGACTTACCTAATTTACCATTTGTACATAGCGCATCGCAGTTAAAAGTGACCGCAATATATTTTTTATAAGAAAAGGGTAATTTTAAATTGGAAATAATGTCAATAATGATATTTAATGTAGTTTATGAAAAAAAATTATTCATTATAATTAAAAAGGAATTATTGCATTAAGTACTATTGCATGTATATACCTATATATATAGCATTTTCCAATAGGTATCTAAATAGTAAATATGTATACATATTTATAATCCGCCACTCCGTTAGTGTAGACTGAATCCGCGCCTAAGTGATCGTTTCATTGGAATAAAAGTAAAATAAATAACAACACTGGTATAACTGATCGACCTCATAAATTTATAATATAAGAACATGAGTTTTCAGCACGCATTTATAAAATAAAAAACGCAGTAATAATTGAATTTTTCGAATATACAATTATTCACACAAAAAGTTAATTCTATAACTAATTAGTTTTAATACAGCATTGCATTTTTCTTCGGTGGATACAGATTATGATAATTATGAAATGTTAGTTGAAATATATTTTTTACGAAGCGAAAACATATAATGACCCCGAGGATGCTATAATTGTTTTGTAATGAGAGAGAGACTGTCAGATAATATATAATATCGAATCCTTTTGGCAAAACCTTTACTCGTTATTTTCGGCGTTTTTACAGTACAGAACAGAATCATTATCGATACAACGCACGCATTTCGTTTCAGTACTCGTGAGCAACTGCGGTAATATTGTACACACCTCATCGTGTAAAGTGAATACAAATCAAACCGTAATATTGTTCGTCTAAGGCAGAGATGGGAAACTCGAAGTTACTAGAGGGCCAATTTTTAGAAAATTTAAATTTAGCGGGCCAAAGCATAGAAAAAAAACCGAAAAAAAAGTCATTCAAAATATGAATTTTAATTAGCATTTATATATACGGAAATATGAAATTCAACACACACGATAGTATAATCCGAATGGTACGAAGAAACTGATATAATTAAATAGTTTGGTAACAGCTATGGTTGAAAGCCATACTTATACATTCATATGAAATTTAGACATTTAACGATGTTACTATTAGATAAAAATTATTATATTGATAAATTAGAGCATAGACGATAAACTTTAGAATTATATGATGTAATTTTAAAATATATCACGGGCCAAATAAAAAAGGCTCACGGGCTGGATGCGGCCCGCGGGCCGCCAGTTGCCCACCCCTGGTTTAAGGATTAACGAACGGCAACACGTGACGTTTATTTGTTTAACACAACCTACTACTACGACAGTTATACTGTTAAAGGCACACGTATTGACGACTTGATTTCATTGTAGAATTATGTACACTTACAACTCGATAATAATTATTTAGTAAGCAAACGTTTTGGTGTGGTACCTACATTTTTCCGGTTGAATTTTTATTCGAGTGATGCGCCATCAATAACCGAAAGAATACCTGGTTACCTCACTCGGGCGAAACGCCTCAAAACGATTCTTTGTCATGCATTATTTCGAAAATATCTTTTTGTATTTTAACGACCAAAAAAATAGGTTTTTTTTTTTTACCTTCAAATTCTATGAATACGTCACGCTAACATTTTGATGCAAGAAAATATTCTATGAAGTCGTAATAATATTGCAATTATAGTATAATAAATGCAGCATTTTTTAACATGAATATACCGTTGCGTCACTAAACATCATATTATACACATAGATATTTCGAACGAGTGGGAAAAAAATTATGAAAAACAATATTAGCGATAATAAAGCCGATATGTTACACATCGTTTGAACAATAATAATTATCTTGACAAGAATATTTTGATTTCGGCTGGTACATTACATATTCTAATACAATATACCTATGAATCTTAAGCTCCACTCGAGTCGTGGAGTGAGGAGCTATATTATTACAGTGTATACGATATGTAACCATATTAAATACTTGACGACGATAATTATTATTATTTAACATAATGGATCGTATAATCGTAATTTCCTCTCCAACTTGCATTCGGTTGTTTGCGGAATACGTAGATTTCAGTTTGTAGTGCATATACATCGCACTACAACTTAAAAGGATATAAAATGTCGACAAGACTTTTATAAATAGGTACTTGATGTAAAAAACTGCTTAAATATTTAGTTTTCATTCGTCGTCGTCATATGTATTCAATACGGCCACCGAGTTTTCCGTATTTCCACAACTCGTAATCAGTATGATATATTTGTCGGAAAAACGGATAATTAATTTTGATAGATATTAATTTCTCAGCAAAAAGTTATATAACTCAGCAATCAATATTGTAGTAACTACCAAAGCTTTTACTTGTTTTGCTTTATTTACTATATTCGTTTTTGTCAGTGTAGGTACGTAACACATATTGGTAAGGGAACTCAGTTTTTAGACTGTGCCAAAAACAATTCACTTGTTTAAACTTTAAGTGGATTACGAAGTGAATGGAGGACAATAAGTGACAAGACATTTCGGTATCCCGAAGAGAGTTGTTGGAACAATAAGACGGACAGCTTAAAAAATGACATTTCCGCAAAGTATAGAATGTCCGGTAACCCTACGTTGAATGGAACACGAAAAATATATAATATAGAGAAAGAAGTACGGACTGCGGTGACATTTTACATGAAAAAGTTAATTTAATTGTGCAAACGCACTTTGAACTACACGTATGAAACCCATCTATAAAAACACTAAAAAAAGATTAGTAGATAAAAACATATCTCATTTAATTTAATATACGAGTATTTCGCTTAACTATCTTTAAATTGACTTATACGTTAGATATAATATAGGTCAGTGTTTCCAAACCCTTATACTTATACTATGTCCTTTGTGTTGGGGAAATGACCCTTCGATAAAAAAACCCTAGTATGCTTTAATATAATAACATAACTAATCATTTTATTATAATACATTTTATCATATACTTTAACTAAATTCTGATGTATGATTATATTTTGATGCCCAAGATATTTTTCTTGTCATTGGTTTACAAACAGTGACCCAATATTAAGAAAAGCTAATACATATTATTCGAACACACACGAATAATTAATTGATCGATTATTGTTCGCGTAGGTGCCTACCGACCGAATAGTCTCGTCTATTCCGTAAACAAGAACAGAGGCGTCCAGCTTGACGAAAGGATTACGCCTAGGCGTTATGGTTGAAATTTGGTAAAATTTGTCTTAATGATGTCTTAAACCTTTTATCATTAAAGAGTAGCGGGTGGGGGTGGGAGTGATGAAGTATAAGGTGCACATGACTGTTTATACGTACTATCGAGATATCTCAATTAAAATATTACGTAAACGTGAACTTGCGGACGGTCGAGCGTCGGCGTGCTATAGGGATAAAATAGCGATACAATACAGGATTATCGTGTAATCATTGCAGAATATTCGGGGGTTATTGCAGGAAAAAGGATAGCACGCAGTACTCGCGGAACGGTAGCGGTGTCGTTAGCGGCGGCACAGGCGGCAGCGGCGGCGGCCCAACCGAGAGGAAGACCAGTTACGAGGTGGACAAGCAGATAGAGTACGCGACGTCCACGCTGAGGAAAAGGGACGCCTCGGCGGAGAAAATGTACACGGGCAGCGGCGGCAAGAGCATCGACTTCGACGTGTGTCCTTACGCCACGTTCAGCGTGATGCAAACCACGTCGTCCGGCGGCAAAATGCCCGTGCACCACCGGGCACTCAGCCAGACCGATTGTTACGAGACGCCCGATCACAACATCCACGGTCTGATCGATAAGTCCTACGGTGAGAGACAACGGCCGCGACACGGCTTACGCCCGATATTCCTCGCTTTTCCGTGTAACCCACCCCCTCGTGTAAGGACGGTTTCCTTTCGGCGACCCGTTTCCCCCTTGCCCCGCATAACGAATTCAATGACACGGTACACAAGACAAGATCTGCTTGTTCACCGAAACCTTATACAGAAACAGATGTCATTTTTAACAGACGATCACTTGGTAGCCATTAAATAATGAGAACATGATAATTCGACGACCAAGTTTAACCGTAATACTAATAGCGTATACCAGGGATTCTCAGATTTTTGTAAACACTGTACCCCTTTTTATCGATAAACTTTTTTGAGTACCCCTTTTTAATTAGTAAACTAAAATAAATAAAAATAAATTTAAATACTTAAATACATTATACTTATTACATTTTTATTCGTTATAAACTAACAAGCGAAAAATGTTAAAAACAGAAAGGGCTTACTTATAACACAATTAGTGAGAAGGGTGATCTTAGTTTTGTTGACACAGTTGATCAATATAAGGTTCTAATTTAGTTAAATACAATCTTAGTTATCTTTTTTATCTTAGATTATCTAAGTTATCTTCAACATTTAATTTGTTTCTACATTTACCTGTAACATAAATTAAACTTGAATAACCGTTTTCCACATAAATTATTTAAATTCAAAGGTTTGTTGGCCAGACTCATACCCCTTAGTAAAATTTTGAGTACCCCAAGAGGTTCGCATATCACAGTTTGAGAACCACTGGCGTAGACAATGGGCGGGTGGATACAGGCATACAATAATTATTACGCAACATCAAAATAGCTATAGTATTCGATAAATGTTATTTTAGTATCACGTACCATTCAGTATCACGTATTTTGAAACCATTAATTGAAAAATGTAAAACCTTCTCACATATAATAGTGGGTACAGAAAGGGACGGTGGGAAAATTGATAGGAAAATAAAAATAAAATAATGAAAGTTGGGCTCCTGTAATGATAGAAACGAATAAGGCCCAACACTTTACGCGTTTGCATTTCCTCCCACCCCCACTCTAACAATTAATTGGATGTATCATATTATACAATATGCGATGCAATGTTTCAATAACTTTTATACTTTTTCGTAATTTTTATTTTTATAAAATACTGTTTCCAATTAAAAGCTCACGTCTATCCATAAATACCCAGTTGTCTAAAATCAAATTATTTTGTAAACCGTGAATCTTTATATTTATATATCATACATGAAACTGAATTCAACGGGGTTACCCATGGGTGCCACGTGAGTGGCGTAAGGGGTGCACTTGTACCCCCTAGATTTAAAAATAATAATAATAAATTTTAAAATATAGGATAGAGGCTATTATTATTATGATCGAATTTTCTAGTAGCCTGTATTATTTTGTAGCCGTCAAAAAAAATTAAAAAATATTGTACCATCATAAAATTTGAAAGAAAAAATGTATTTAACTTAAATAATTTAAGCATTATTTAGAAATCAGTGTATGCACCCTCCTGACGAAATTCCTGGCCACGCCTATGAGGTTAAACCAACCAGGGCCGTTGAGAGGGGAGAGCTTTGGGACTATTTTGCTCCAGGCCCCAAACTTTTGGTGACCACAACATCCATTGATTTTTTTTTTTGTTAACTTCATAACTACCCCCTGGTTTACCACTGTATAATCCCCAATCTTTAAGTTGCTCCAGGCCCCGTTAAACTTTACAACAGTCCTGACCCCAACTAAACATTGAGAGGCAATTCAAATGCTACTTGATTTACACCATCCGCTCTACCCAACCACTAACGAATACTACTCTTATTATTTTTAAAATACGCTACATAATATTATTGTTTTTTAATTTCTATTTTTAATAATTAATTTATATTAACACTTATGCACGATTTGATCGAAATAATTATGAAAAATAATGTATTTTACCCGAATCCATCGTCAGCCGCCGCAAAACGGTTAATGGTTATTGGCGTATAATACCTATAATAATGTAGGTGCCTGATTTTTGGAATGTTTCAGAAATATCGTACATATCCAATCAACAAACGCTTCCGTTGACATCGGTCAAGTCGTCCAGGAAAGCCATGACGCCAGTGCATTTTATGACGGACATAGACGACGAGCCGTATCGCAAGAAATCGTCGAACACGGCGAGAAAACAGAGTTCAGGTGATTAATATTTCTGTCCATTAAAAACGTCATATTTTTATAATATCGTGACATCGTAGAATATTGTACAATACCATTACGTATCGTCATACCATGTATCTGTATATTTTTTAGTTAGTAGTTTCTATACATAATTATTATCTAAGCGTACACACGCAAATACACACCTCGTAAATACTCATGAGATACTTGAAATATCGATAAAAAAAACACCATACGTTGTAATAACCATTACAATACGTCATATTTCAATATTACACAAGACACGGTAATACACAAAAGAATGTAGATACGTTATATTTAAAAATTATCAGCGAAATATATTGAAGTTTTAACTCTTAATAATTCAGTCAGATACTTGGACACAAAATGTCACAAAACTGTATTACTTGTACCGAGTTTAAAATAAAAATGTACCTATTCGATACACATTTTTCATTATTAATTTGATTTTTTAATTTTATATCAAACAATAAAATAAGGTGGTATGAACGTTCTACAAAAAATGTCATCATCTAAACAATAATTATGTTATATACAAATATATTTATCTAAAACTAATAGGAGTGTAGTATAGTATATTAATTATATAAAATGTATAGAAACTACGCAGTAAATGTACAAATAAACGTAATAAATAATGTGTTTACCAGCCGTTATTGATGTCATTGGATACTTTACAGTTATTTTATTTACCAGTACAAGTGATGGGTATATTTGCATTACCATTATTTTGAAATATTCAGTCCCGCAAACCTTATTAAAAAAAATTAAACAAAGAAATTAACGTAAAAGTTAAAAATTATATCAAACATATTAACTTTTAGTACAGTCAAAAAATCAATTATTTGTCAAAGAATAAATTATCCATTTTTATTTCTAGAAATTTGAGAAAAAATTTCCTCCGATAATTACTAAACACAAATGTATGCATAGTGAGCAAATTAAAAAACCAATTTTGAAACAAAATAGGCTCCAGTGTCCAAAATTTAGTATAATTTTTGAATTTTTTTTTTTTTTTATCATCCATGTAACATACAAGTACAAATATCAATCATTACCTTTTTTTAGGTTTTTAATTATTTTATTTTTTAAAGTTTTATAGATAAGTTCAAATATTACCAACATTTAGGATCTGCTCAAATCATTATCCTGTACAACACTGGTTTTCAACCTCTTTAACAGTGCGGCACACTTCATCTCCAACAAAATGTTCGTGGCACATCAATCCATATATTATGAGAACCATATTTTATATATAAACAGTGGCGCTAGCGGCACACTGGTTGGAAACCACTGTTGTATAGCATAAAAGTACTAATCATTATAATTTTATATTGAAAAAATAAAATGTATATATTAAATATTATTCTTCCAACCATATCTGCATTAAAATCTATTAGACCCCATACCTAAATTAAATTAGTGCAAAAGTTTAACTCATCTTTAATAAAAAAAAACAATTTAATTTAGAAAATACATATTAAAACATTATCAATGGACACTACAATGATCATTCGTGATGTGACGCTCAATAATCACAAAAATAATTTATAATTTATAAATTCAATTTGATATCACTTCCCTCAAAGACTTTAACAAGTTTTATTTTTTTATGACAATATTATGAAGATGTCTGTAGTTTCTATCATATGAATCTTCTTCATAGTTATAGATAACTGTCAAAATATTTATAATACTGAAATATAAAAAATTTCTGTTCTTTTTTTCAGAATTAAGAGGAGCACGCAGACACTACAATTAGAAGTTTTTTTTTTTTAAGAAAAAAAGACTAGACAATGAAAAAATAAAATCAGAAGAAATAACTCAACTTTTGGACCATCATACATTTTGATCATTAACATATTTTGAATAATATGTTAAATATAAATAAATATATACTATGTTTTTCATAATAATTATAAACAATGTTACTTTTAAAATGTATTTATAAAAATAAGTTACATAAGAAAAAAATATTAATAAAATATAATGGCATTAGGAAATCATACTTTATATTGAAAAAACAAATGTGTTGGTTGTTGTTGATTAGAGAATACAATGTCAATAATAAAGCAAAATTTGAAATAAACCACTGATATCAAATGAAGTTGACTTCTTTTTTTGGTAATTCTAAAGGTCATCAATTAATTTATCAATATAGTAAATAATTCAATATACTAAATTATTGTAAACATTATTGCTTTAGTATAAATTATTAACAAATATATCCATGTTTATTCGTATAGCCAATTAATACTAAATTACCTACAATCTTAATTTAGTTACAATATAATTAAATGATATTGTGCTCAAAACTAAACTAACATAATTTACAATTTCCAAATGGAAATAATAGGTGATAAATTTATATTAATTGATAAATAAACTGTAACAAGGATAACAGGAAACAACATTCATAAAAAAAAGGAGGCCAACAATCAGCAAATTTGATTGTCCATACTATAAATAGGACAAACACTTTCTATTTCTGGTAATTGAAAGCCTACCAAGTTTTGATTTTCGCCATACATAATATACTACACAGGTGATTGCTGTTGTGATTTTTCACTCTCCTGTTTCAACATCATTCGATCCAATTTGTCAACAGTAGCATTTAACTCACTTTCCCAACCTTTGCGATCTTCTACACCTTCAACCTCTTCAGTTCTTTTACTTTCCATCATTAAAGGCTTAGTAGCAAGGTCACGTACTTTTTGACGTAGTTGTTCTAATTCCTAATATAACAAAAACAAAATCTTTTATCGTATATTATTTATAATTTATTGAATTATAATGTTTATCTACCATAGTCACTTGACTATCTTCATCAAAATCTAAGTCATCTGCATCACTCAAAATAGAACTAGTATCCATAGATAAACTACCAAGGCTTCTTGAATCACATTTATCTAAGTTCCAGTCTAAGTTTATGTCTTCCATACCATTAGCATCCTTTTTACTACCTAGCTCTTGCCAGTCATTGACCATAGAAGAAACTTCAGCACCAACACCTGGTTCTCGTGGACCTTGTAATGAACATTCCTATTGAAGAAAGCATAAGCATTAATTAATATAAACTATAAAAAATAAATAAATATTCACTAGAAATAGTAAATACCACGAGCTTATTATTTTGTCTTTGTACATGAATTTCTTCAGATATCTGTTCAAGTCGGTGCAAACACGCTGAATACTCTTGTTTAGCTCGTTGAACAGCATATCGAATTTGAATTATGGTGTCTTTTTGTGCAGCTAATTGGCCTTCACATAAGTATTTTTCCTCAAAATATGGACGAGACTTAATAATACTACGTTTAAACTTTTGTTCTAGCATTTGAACCTAAATTGTCATAAAAATGTTTATTAATTTTACACAATTGTCAATAAAAAATGTACCTTTTGTTCAGCAGCTTGATAAAGAGCTGCTTTCCTTTGATGCTCACGCCCACTTTCAGTCTTTTGATTTTCTGCTTCTGTTACCTATAAATTATACAAATATTGCCTATCTTCAGAAAAAAAATAAAAATGTAAAAATAATATTTTAAAGAAAATGTTATTAAATCTTAAATTCAAACAAAATAACAAAAACATACAATCAATTTTAGTATTTAATATATGATTTTTATTTCATAAAAAATACCTTAAGAATAGCATTATTTAACATTTCTTGCCATGCACTATCAAATTTCCATTCATGTTGTTTACTAAGAAACCGTGCTTCAGCTAATGCTACAGTTTCTTTAGCAGCTTGGTGAATTTCTAAAAAAAATTAAAAATTAAAATAAACTGAATAATCACAATTAAAATAGTAATAACTCCGAACTAGAAAATGTTTTCAATTATCTAACATACTTTTATAATAAATTTAACCTAAACGTACAATAAGTAAATTTGTTTTTATGTTAAATATATGATAAAAAATTATACGTTTTAAATTTAAATATATGACGAAAAATAAAATATTCTAACATTACAAGTATTCATAAAATAAATAAATAAACTATTAATCTCTTAATTGTACCTAATTTTTAATTTTTCAAAATGTAAATGCTTTAAATTTACAATCAAAATATTCCAATAGTATTGAAACAATACTATTATTATAAAAAATAAGAAAATAGTATACTTATAAAATATATTTTTAGTATTTTAATATCAAAAAATAATACATTTTAAATAAAATTCACTAAATTAAATAATTTTAATAAAAGTTATACATTTTTAAAAATGTCTCAACATTTTAATTTTATAACTATTTATCACTTAAGTTCTTTAATATTCCACAGAAGAAAGACCTAAGCACAAAATTTCTGTTATAATTATAAATCAAAACCATCCAAGTTAATTGACTAATTAGATAATGATTTACAAGATATTTATTAAATGCTTCTTTTTTTTTTTTTTTGTGTGTGCGTTATGTTAGAAATGTAAATTTTGTATGAAAATAAGTTACATCACAACCAAATTTTAATTAATACATTATTAATACATTCAATTTCTTAATTTAATATTTCTCATACAATTGTAATAAAAATTATACACAACTATTTTCATCGCATATTTAATATGAAGTATAAATAAGAATCTCTTATGTTAATTGATATTGAAATTCTTTTTCAATATAAAAATTTATTTAACCCAATGGTTTTTATAAAAATGGTTTATAAAAATATAAATGTTAATTTTTTTTTTTTTTATTTTGAATGAAACAAGGAAGCTATTGGTTGTACTACAATGTGTTTTTTTTTTATTATGGTGTCACACAATATCAATTAGAATTATTCTAACAATCACAATTATGGGAGTTTAGGTTAAAATTCTCTAAACTTTGAAGTATTTAAAATAAATATCCACCAAATAACAAAAATAATATTATTATATAATTGTGAATGTATTTATATTTTCTTTGCATAACATATATTTTAAAAAACTACAGTAAAAATGTAAATTTACCGAGGAATTTGTTTCAGTATTATCAAAAATACATTTTTATAGCCTATTAGAGGCACAGAAAACAATGAATACATCAAACACAGGTTAAGTAACAGGAAAGTTTCTAACAGGTAAGTAACATTATATTTTAGAAAATAAATAAAAAATTATAGTAACTAAAGTAATTAAACCTATCACGTATAGAAAGAATATGTAAGTTACAGCAGAAATTCCCTGATAGAAATCAAAACATTTTTGACTCATAAACATTTCATCCTAGAATAATGCTTTAAATTTTATAAATTATCAACTTAATATTATTAAAATTTAATTTTTTTATATATATATATAGTTTTTCATTCTATTTTTAATTTTGTTTGACATTAAAATTATGTGTACTCATATAAATAAATATATTGTTATAAATTTATAATGAATTCTAAACTTATATTAATGTGATGTTATTTAACAATATTTTATGTTATTTTAAAAACAAATCTTAACTTCAATAAAAGCTTGGAGATGGACCAGTTGGTATTACCTATTATATAATACTAACCATTGCTTAACATAATTTATTCCTCAAATAATTTTATTTAAAAATTAAAATTATTATTTTTTATCTATTTGATTAAATATATATAACCTACTTGATTCTTAAATAAATCCTTATATTATATAATAATACATCTAATATAAAGGGTAAAAAAATTAATTTTAATTTTATAAATACCTAACAAATAAATAAAAATTGTTATCAAATTTTATTAGTGAAAAATAATTTTATAACTTATTTATCATAAAATATTTTGAAAATAATTTATTAAATTAAAAAAATAATTTATAAAATAAAATATTATAGAATATTTTCTATTTCAGAAAAAATTATTTTTTTACTATGTATTTTATATAAACAATAAACTACAACAAAATAATGTTACAATTTAAAATAACTAAAAAAAACAAATTCAAAATTAAAATATTATATTTAGATTTTTTTTGTAAATAAAAATAATTAAATTTCAAAAATCATTATTTTTTCAAGCAATCAACCAAAAGTTTACTATATTTTAGAACTGTATAATGGTGGTATATATGTAATAATCAATAACTATTAAGAACTCAATTACATAAAATGCACATGCCTAATACATTTACATTTTGAATACAATTAGAAAATATAATGCTGTAGATTATGATATTAATATGACCATAAAGGAAAGATGATGGCTGTTATCAAAGTTGTTTATGCCTTCAATATATAATCTGTTGAACACTTAATTGAAGAATTTAATATAAAAACATGCTGAAAGCAAAATTACAATTATTGATCAGTTACCAGCTAAAAGATAAATGTATTTTAATTGTTCTTTTATGTTACTTTCCAAAAATCCAGGCTATCACTTTATGTAAATATTTTGTTTTAATTTTTTTTTTTTTTAATATTAATTTAGAAGTATAGAAAATTTACAATCTGTATAAATATAATAAATATAGTATAATATACGATGAATAATTGTATTGAATATTTTTTAACTAGACTGAACAGTATGAGGTAAGAGGCAAGTATTTATTATGAAAAATATTTAAAATATATAAGATACATAATATAATATAAGATTACATACAAACAAAATACAAATATTATTTATTACTACTAAAACTAATATATAGTTGGTCATGATTCCCATATTTTAAAATTAAATATTTATGTAAAAAAAACAGTTATTTGAGTTTGGTTAATTACTTCTTAAAAAGTGTGTGTACTGACTAATTATTTTTACAATACTTTCTAAATTTAAAAGTATAAATTAGTGATGGGAATGAAATCAGGATTCTTCAAAAATCTGCCAAATCCGTATTTCAGACTAGAATATCCGGATTTTGGATTTTCCAAAACTATCCTTTCCTATCCGAAACTTGGATTTTTGAACTTAAAAATCTGAGATTTGGGTTTATTATTGCAAATTTCGGTATTCTAATCATATTACTTTCATTACACCACTTTTTAGTCGTTATTTTAAATCTTGGAGAATATAATGGTGATCTAAATAAGATATCTCAATAATTGGAGAACACTTCAAGTCTTACGTACCATTATTTTTGGAGATACAATTAATAATAATAAAAACTTATTATATAATATCCGACTTATATATTTAATATTACACAAAAACTTGTATTGAGATTCTTAATTAGTCTATGTCAAAATATCATTTAATTTTGAGGATGTTTAATTATTTTATATTTAATATAAATAGTTCTTGAAAAAAATACTAATTAAATGTTTTCAAATCCGAAATCCAGATTCAATGCAAAATCCGGATTTTCGAACATCAGCTAATCCAAATTTTTCTCATCACTAGTATAAATACGGAATTTAAGTTATTGGTTGAAATATATATTATAAAATTAATACTTTTTATTAATCAGTGAATGAAGGTAGGTCCAAACATATATATATATTTATTTATAATATAGTATATGTAATTTTAAACATCAACCAAAGAAGGTTAATCATTATGACAAAAAACTATTTATGATAAGATAAAATAGGTACTTGACAAGTATATTGTTTGAAAATAAATATAAATTGATATTTAACTTAACAATTGTACAGTGCACTAATATTATTAGCATCAATTATAGAAGACCACAAGAACACCAATACCTACTCAAATTGTTTGGTATGTATTCAAACATATATTTCAAGTTAAAAAAATAATATAAAGTTGAACATTAATTACAATAAATATTTATCAAAGCATTAAATTAATTTTCAACATTGGATAAATTATACCTACATAAATAGGAGTCAAATAAATTTAAAAAAAAAACATGAAATTATTTACTTTGAATATACTGTTTCTTTTAACAATAGTTACATGACCTAATATTTGTATGGTTGAACTCTGAAATGTATCTTCAAAATGAATAATAGTTGTTTAATTAAATATGATAACTATGATGCATAAAATCATCAATATTAAACAAGTTGTAATAATTTTTTTATAAAACCACAAAGATTAATTAATTAAATATAAATTTAAAAAAATATATTTATAAAGACATTTTTAATATTTAGACCTAATATTAAATAAGGGAAATTGGCTGAGAACGGACTACTATAAATTGTTTTGGTTTATCAAATGTTTCAATTTTTTTTTTAAATAACTTATTTTAAAAATATAAATTATTTAATACAAATATTTATAATGATTTATGAAAGATTATAAATATTTGTATGATTTATGAAAGATAACCAAATTATACAATGATAATTACATAATATCTAATCAGAAATTACATAAATGAGAAATTAATTATCTTCAAAGATATTTTCAATAGGTAACTTCTACTCTAAAATATCTTATATCTTTATAATAATTATACTAAAGAATTTTTTATACTATTAATTTATTTTTATACCTACAATAGGTACTTATATTAAGATTAATATGAACTTATTATAATTATTTTAATCCAGAAAAATGTTCTCATTAAAATAAAATATTTCCTATACATTGACACATTTAGGTATGATTTGCTAATAATGTCTTATAAGATTCATAATTTAAATTATAAATGATTTACTTTTAATTGTGTTTATAAAATACTGCATTTGTTTATACGGTTTTAATTAAGAAAAAAATCATTTTTCAAAAAAAGTTGTGGTTTAAATGGACTTACCATTTGCTCGTTGATATTTTACAGCTGCAATTTGACATTGTTGCTGAGCTTGTTTAGACATATTAAGTGCTTCATAAAACGGTCGGGCTTTATCAATACATGAACCTAATTTGCGAGCTCGTACCTTTAATCGTCTAGATGCTTCAGCCATTAACATTCTAAATGTCGTATTAGCTTCCTATAATGTATACCAAACAGATTAGTATAATAAAAACAAAAAAATAATTATTAAATATGTTTTGATAAAATATTTCTCAGATCACTTGGAAAAATTAGTCATTAATTCATTTAAAAATGCTATACGTATAAATGTATAATATAATAACATAGTAAAATAAGATTTCAAATATTAGTAGATTTATTTTAAAAGCATTCATACTTACATCTAATTCAATTTCAAGTTTGTTTATATTGTCAGTCGATGAATTAAGTTTTTCAAGTTCCAGCTTAAATAAAACAAATTAATTAAATTCCTTTTTGCCAATAAAACAAATCGTTGATATCGGACATTACTTGAATTCTAGGATCTAAACTATCTTCTTCGTTGTAATTGGATGTATCATTGTCTTGTCCATTAGACGTATCCATTATTAATATAATAAAACTTAATGAACTATTTAATGCATTGCAATAGGGAAGGGGGAGGGAGAATTTAAATAAAACGTCAGTAAAACAGAAATAAAATAAAAACACAAATAAATCGTCAAACTGTTAATATCTTAATAACATTAATAAAAATTAAAATAATAAACATAATTTTTTCGTTCGTGATAATGAAAAGAATGCATGATATCAAATACGATATAAACGTTGAACCTTACCGACCGTACGGTTTCAACCGTATTCCGTATGACCTCGACCTATTGCTTCATGCTAACGCGTATTTCAGCTGCTAACGTAATAGTGCAACGTACTTCATTTGCGTTTTAACGGCATTTTGAACATCGAGTGATTCATTGTGTTGTTTAAAACTTCTATTATTTACGGTCGGATTATTATTCATTTTTGAAAAAATGTATTTATATAACCTGACGTCATCCTGTATAATATTTTTGTGTAGATACATACCGATGAATCGTTACTGGTTTTATCGTATTGATTATTTAAATCTGTGTACCCAACCACAAAAAATAATATTTTTGAATTTTTTTTTCATAATCCAAAATGAAATATTTCCCTGAAAATGTTGATGTATCCAGAGTCGTCCCTACAATATATGTCATCAGCACGGTATTGTAGAATTTGTTTTAAAACTTCTAAAGGTGGAATACCTTTGACAATAACTTTTGATAAAATTATTAACTCCTTGTATATATAGTCCATTAATATCTTTAGTCTAACCCACTTGAAATAATGTCTGAAGATCCATACAATGCTTCATCAAATCTTCTTTATTCTTTTCAGAAATACTTCCAATACCAAATTAAAAATTAAATAATATCAAACTTTTTCAATTGTTTAAATCTTCTACTCAAAGAAGAAATTCCTTGGACAAGAATTTAAAAAAATACTAATTTTTTAAGATTATTTTTACTATTAGAATTAAAAGATTGAGTAGCACTTTCATAATCCTGCCTTAGGGTCGGCCCTGGATGTAGGTACCTATAAAAATTAAGCATCAAAACAATTTTCACCTTTTAAATAGGTATTTAATAGATAAGAGATATAATTGGTGCATTCAGTATTTTAATCCCTTGTGAATAGCATTGTCTGCTTATCTATAAGCTTATAAGACATTTAAGTTAATTAATTTACTTGGTTCATCTACCGTACATCAATAAAACATTCTAGTACGAATTCAAATTTGAAAATATATGACGTAATTTAATAGTCTTTAATAAGTCTTTTAACTGATTTTATAGTTTAGATAAACATAAATTGTAGGTAGCATGTACTAGGTACCAATATTGTTAAATAATATCCATAAAAGTTCATTAATAAAAGGTGCTATTTGTATTGTTGGATTATCTGGGGGGTGGGGGCAAAATTATACCTTTATCTCTCAAAAAATGGTCAGAGGGTGCACTTTCCCCCCCTTGCCCCTCCACAATTACGCCACTGGTTACTAATATTAGGAACGACAGATTTAAATGTAGAGGCAAAGTTAGTTGGTTAATTGTTCCAATAAATGGACCAAAGATTTAAAACATAGAATCGTAGGAGAGAAATAAAATTTGACCAAGGTATTAGAGAAAAGAAAGGGCTGGTCAATTTAGAGGAGGATTTAGCCAAAGAATCGGCTATCTCGCTCCCGTGAATACCTATATGACTGGGAACCCAAAGATATTGAATATTAAAGCTTAATTGGCTAAGACTAAAAAGGATAGATTTAATACGAAGAATTAGAGGAGATAGATATGAAGATTGGAGACAAGACATCGAATCTGAAGCAATTAAAAACTTTTTATAAGGGGAAGCAGAGACAAAATTAAGCTTTTCTATAATAGCAAAACACTCTACTGTGAAGCTAAGCGATTTATTAAAAGTAATTTTTTTTTTAATAGATGTGTCACTTGTAGTCTGAATTTATGACATTCTTCAGGTATTATACAAAGGCTATAAATTAAATATTTAAAGTGGTCTAAATTGTTAGTGATTCAATTTGTGACTACCGACTATATCCATTGAATATTTTTTCTTATTTGGTTCTTGGATGTAACAACTATCTTCTATCAGCTACTACCTAATGACCAATGTCAGATCTAGAATAATTGACGCCCAGGACTAATAAAAATATTCATGACTTTTCATAAACTTATGAGCGCTTTTATAGCAACAACACCAAGGATGAACATAACCACTTATCTCCTTTCTAGATCCACCACTGTAAATGGCTAATACCTAACAGTTATAACATACTACCTAACAGTTATAACATACAAAAGATTTAGTACATTTTTATTTGAGAAGGCCTTGTTTATTTATATAATTATTTTCATTGTGTTGTTACTTATACTACATAATATATTAATAATATTATTATCGACTATTGTTGTCCGTTGATAAACTATGACGACCGGTTGTGTACCTATTTTTCTATTTGTTAATTTTATTACAATTCAACAACATTTTTAACATAAATTATTTTTTATCTAACCTAACTTAAATATAAATCTAAAATTAATCACATTTATTATAACAGTTTAATTGCGATAATTCAAAACGCCGTGGTAATAATTTACCTACACTAATGTTGATAAAGCATGATTGTAGTCTACATAAGGAATATTTAATGATTTTATATAACTATGTCTTTATGCAAGAAAATTAATTATAGACCAAATCAAATAGAAACACAATACGAAAATTAAATAGTATAAACAATATATAATAAGGGGCTGCAATAGTATTATTATTTATAATTTTTCATTCTCTGAAAATGTATAGCTTATTGTGTATATGTAATCTGTGATGATATAATTAAGACAATGGAAAGAGACCATTATTTCGCGCAACGTTGTCATTTACTGTATGAAAAAGTACCAAATACGGTAATATGTTACCAATTAGTTATTTATTTTCCATGCCATTATTATATCGTTACAAATTATGATTAATAAGAAAATAATAATATATAAATAGGTATGTATAAGTTGTATTACCTTTTATTATCAGGTGCTTACAAATAATGTCATTGTTTTTTAATTTTTAAATTGAACTTTATCTATGCATAAATGTCTGTATTATAACCATAATATTTTTTTTACAGATAGTATATCGGTGTGGTTTGAAATAATCAAATAAAAATGGATAGCCCCTTAACAGGTATGCACTGTTACATAATTAAAATATTCAAATGTTGTGTCCATTTCTATTCTGTTTTATTGTGTCGAAGAAATTGAGTCGTTACTACATCAAACTTATTAAAATCTTTCGTTAAAACCATATCAGTGTGTCATCATGAAAACCCAATTGTAAGGAGTAATAACATACTGAATGTTCCCTAATTTTACAAATAAGATTTTACTTTAACAACAATTCCACATAATGGACTGTTTTTTTTATTTTATCCAAATTTAGTTGTTCAGCAGGGTAGTATATAATTTAAAAAAAAAAAATGGTAAAGAAAAACATTTTTGTTTGATTTATACATCTATAACAATGAAAGGCTAATAACCTAAAATGTTAAAGTCTTCAACAAAAAAAAATTTCTTAATTGATTGTACATTAATGATTTTATTCAATTAAATACCTGTATACAGTAAATGGTAAAAATGCACCAAAAATGGTGCCTCGCTATTCAGTAATTATTTTATTAAACCCTTTACAATTTTTAAGAACTCTTCCTTTTTTTTTATATCCGCTTCTATTTAGTTCGATTACTTGTTAGCTACGTACGTCACTGACTATAGTCTACAATTAAAATACCACCATTACTAATGACAAATCGAATATTTAATTTTTATAGTTACTCTAATATGTTATCTTCTTATCACAAGGAAACTGAATAAGTACTTATCTATAAGTATGCTTGTTATTATAAAATAATAATTTATATTATAAAGCTTGTATATTATATGATTACCTATATAACATTATGATTCTTGGATATTTTTAATGCAGACAAATAACGTCATACAATATGCATTTATTCAACAATTAATTATTCAAAAATTAATGATACATTTACTTGTCTCATTAAACCATATCCAATTTTTTTCTTCTACAAAATTAAAAATTTGAATAATAAAAGTTTATGATTTATTCTTATTTATTCTTTGGTTTTTTTCTCCTTAAGGTTGAGAGTTTCCAAACTTCAAAGTATATGGAATCTTTATCCACAGAATTAGACTAAAATAAAAAAATTAATGGCCAATTTAAAATTTCACGCACCTAATTTTAGATTCTGTGCAGAGCAAGAAGTATATTGGTATTTTTAAGTATCTATCAACAAGGTTGTGACCAGAGGGAATACTTGTAGCTAATTTCATTTAATCAGTGAATTCAGAAAATTATTTTCTTTATTTCAATATTAGTTGAGAAAAACTGACGAAAAATCACAAAATCTTCAGTTTACCGATGTTCGACAAAATCTAATTTTTTTAATTTATCAAAAATGATGACTTATTACTCATATAATAATCATAGAAACTTAAAGTATTCACTGAATTTTAATCTTTGTTCTCTAGAGATGATATAATTTTCAAAATGTTTTGATTTTGTTTGGGATATAAAAAAAAGTTTCCATTTTTTTTTCATTTTACATCAATAAAATAACTTCTTTATTTAATAATTAAACATAACTTTAACTTTCTATTTAATATTGTAGTATATTATTCCCAATGATATGTTTTCTTTAAATCTCAATAATTATATTTTTCTTAGATAGCTTCAATTATTTATTATTTGTACTGTTATAGCCAAATGTAGCTGTTATATAATCATACGCTTTTGCACGAACATTTCGAAAATTTTATTTTATTTTTTACTACGACGAAACATGATTTATTTTTTACCAACAATTTTGAAATAAATTCCATTTAATTTGAGTAAAACCGGTTAAAATACGGACCTCTTACTTTCAGACTTAAATTTTAGGGCCCCATTTACAACATTTCGAAGTGTATCTGGACACACTAAGCAACCTCCGTACGCACGATTATGGTGTAGTCGAATAATTACTATTAATATTAGGATATGAAGTAAGTATATTAAAATACAGTTTTGTTCGTCCTTTTCCTCCCTTTCACAATTTTTCTCATAGACAAAGTTATGCCTTTGCACCAAATCTCTCGGTTA